GACAATAATTATCAACATATTAACATTTGTGACAAATATAGGCTTTGGAGGCACTAGTGAGATACATATAATGTTATAATTATTATTGCAGGCTCCTCCCAAGTACGACTTCACATGGGCTGTGAAGGACCAGTACTCTGGTAACGACTTCGGTCACCAGGAGTCCCGGGACGGCTACAACACTCTGGGCTCCTACTACGTCCTGCTTCCCGACGGTCGCCTCCAGAAGGTGACCTACACTGTCCACGGCGACTCCGGCTACGTGGCCGTAGTCACCTACGAGGGCGAGGCCAAGATCCCTACACCCAAGCCTGTCTACGGCGCCCCCGCCCCTATCTACGCCTAAGTCAATACCGACAACGATAACGAATGTGGTTATATTTATTGTGTATTACACTATGTCATCTGGGCTAATTTATGAATAAACATAATGGGCAAAAATTATACACGTGACCTTTATTAAATCAAAGTGCTCTAGATATATGCACCACATCCCCAGCAAACTTGTGAAATATATCTTATATATTTATATATTTACTCCCATGTACATATTTATATATAAATATGTACATGGGAGTATGACAACTGTTGTGCCGTTGCGTCCTGAAGAGGGTCAGTAGTTCGACCTTGATACAAGTCTATATATACTCAGGCTTCCTGTCCCCGACAAAACGTATTATTTGTATAATTGCTGAGTGCTGTTAGAGTTATGATACCTTCGAAAAAAGAGATTTATTACTTGTTTTGGAACAGATAATGTTTATTAGCTCTGTACGCGGGTTAATGTTCCAGGGGAGATACCCTGAGGCAGCCCGACACAGCTTCTAAGGTGAGACAGGCTAAACACCTCCAAGGGAAACAGATTCGAGTAATTTGAAACAAAATTCTATTGACAATTAAACCCTTCGTTATTAAGTTTACTTAAAATAAAAATCCAACTTATTTAATTTCCTCGTCATCTCATAAAGTTTATGAAAGGTACTGTAGATTTTTCAGGTAAAAAGCTTGTTGTATTCGAGAGTAATACTTGTAGAAAAAATAAATTATTAGGGGAAAGCGCCAAGCTATTACGACTATATAGCACTGGGAAGGGGTTAGGATAAGGATTTGGGATGGGAAGGGGAAGAAAGGATTGGTGCCCAACCAATTGGACGGTCGGGGATTGAACGCCGACCTGCATGAAGCGAGACAGTCGCTGTACCGTCCAGCCCAAGTGGTTTGGCCATACTGTAGAAGACATCATCAAAATGTCTTCCAAATGGTTATTACTCAGAAAATAATGTTTTTTGTCCACATTGTTGATAGAACACGTTTCTTCACAAATGTTGGGACTGGCCAAAATGCTCAATGTTGTACTGCAGCTTCAGTAAGATCTTTGTGTACTTTTCACTGTCCAAAAGTCTGTAGAATTCCTACAGACTGCTTTCTCGGTGCTTATTTGTGTAGTCTGATTAACACTGAAGATCATATCGTTCAATGACACTAGGAATGCCAAGTCAGCCGGATCCTCTGGAAAGGAATCTTCAATCATCTTCAGTAGAATATCATTTTTTTAGGCAGTCTTCTGTCATATTCTTCAATTATATCATCAATTTTCAGGGCATATTTTCCTCCTAGCTCGGTGTGCTGTGCTGAGGAATATATTGTCCTCAAGAGTGAAAGGAAACATTTCACCTTGGGGCCTCGTAGCCTGCTGGATAGCGCGCAGGACTCGTAATTCTGTGGCGCGGGTTCGATTCCCGCACGAGGCAGAAACAAATGGGCAAAGTTTCTTTCACCCTGAATGCCCCTGTTACCTAGCAGTAAATAGGTACCTGGGTGTTAGTCAGCTGTCACGGGCTGCTTCCTGGGGGTGGAGGCCTGGTCGAGGACCGGGCCGCGGAGACACTAAAGCCCCGAAATCATCTCAAGATAACCTCAAGATAACCTTACAACAGATGAATTCCGGAAAGCTTTAACTTTACTTAGAAAGCCTTCACTGCTACGAAAAAATTGAAATATGTTTTGTTTTAACTTTAAGTTTAGTCTCGAGGTTATTTAGATACTTTAACATTACTAAAGAAGCAACGATTATATTCCAGGACTCGCCTTAAAGTTGAGGAAATTGTCTTGTTTATTCCAGGACTCGCCTTAAAGTTGAGGAAATTGTCTTGTTTATTCCAGGACTCGCCTTAAAGTTGAGGAAATTGTCTTGTTTATTCCAGGACTCGCCTTAAAGTTGAGGAAATTGTCTTGTTTATTCCAGGACTCGCCTTAAAGTTGAGGAAATTGTCTTGTTTATTCCAGGACTCGCCTTAAAGTTGAGGAAATTGTCTTGTTTATTCCAGGACTCGCCTTAAAGTTGAGGAAATTGTCTTGTTTCTTGTTTTAGGAACCTGGCAACGTCCTCTTTCTGAAGCACGGAAACGCTGAAGCGATTGTATCCCTTCACCTCTGTATGGTAGATTAGGTGACTGTACTCAGCATCTACCTCATCAATAAATCCTCGGATTGTCCAATCTTTCTGTCCCCTAGAACTATTGTAGATAACAAATGAATCTACCCCAGATATTACATAGTCAAATACAAAACTTTGCCACACAATAAAACTTTGCTATCTTGGATGACGCAAGTCTTCCAAGATACTAAACATTGTGGTGTGTGTCACCGCCCGGCCGTCACACGAAGCACATTCCTCAAGTGATCAGTAATGGCCTTAACAGTCACGACGCAGCTCTGATCATATTATTGTTTATCTCATATACGTTTTCTGACCACAAAAGCACTTTTTATCTCTACATTTTATTGCACAAGGCCACTCCATTTTCCAGCTCTTAATATTACAATGGAAATGACATTCATTGATTCTGCCGTGTTTGAAGTTCTATTTTGAATTGCATTTTTCAACAGAATTAACAATATATATCTAATGATCACAATCACATTAGTCTGTCCTGTAAGAAGGTAAATATTTCGCCAAAATTCTGATAAGGTAAGCTGTTGACTAACAATATATTAGATGTGGGATGGATGGATTGTTTCAAGCGGAGGTTAGACAAATATAGGTGTCGAGTTTGGGTAAACGTTCGAGTAAAACAAATATTAGAGGAGTTTGGATGGATATAAATGGCAGCTGTCTCGTATAAGCCAATAGACTTTCTGCAGTTTTCTTAATTGTATTGTTTTTGTCTCGCTGAATGCTCACCACTTTATATAACAAACCAATAATCAACCTTTTGTAACCTCACTGATCAACCGTGTAACCTGGCCACGAACCTGATGTGGGTTTCTTGGTTGAGAGCCCTTTGATTGGTTGACCCATCTTCTGTCAACACATTGAGAGCCTCCTGATTGGTTGGTCCATCTTCTGACATCACATTGGGCGCCCCCTGATTGGTTGACCCAGCTTCTGACATCACATTGGGAGTCCCCTGATTGGTTGACCCATCTTCTGACATCACATTGGGCGCCCCCTGATTGGTTGACCCAGCTTCTGACATCACATTGGGAGTCCCCTGATTGGTTGACCCATCTTCTGACAACCGTGGGGATACAATATTAGTCAGGCATTACTCATGTTGGTTGGACAGTGCTAGACGCTCCATGACAAGGAGAGCAGCAGGCCGTGAAGGAATAAGAAGGCCTCAAGATGGTATTGCGGACAGGATGGTGTAAAGGAGGTGGGGCGGGAAGCAGGAGAGAAGCTCTAGGAGAGAGCCAAACACAGGAACTCTAACAATAACTAGTTTTTCCGAACTTTAAAACACTCACAGGAGCTTACAGTGATTTTGAAGCAAAGTAATCACGACATATCTTTGGATGTTGGTTATCGGAAATATTGGCTTCACCGAATTGTGAGCAAAATAAATGAAGCGTCGTCACCTATGCCTAGCATCCAGGTGAAGCTTCGTCACCTGTGTCTATCACACAGGTGAAGCTTCTTCACCTGTGTCTATCACCCAGGTGAAGCTTCCTCACCTGTGTCTATCACACAGGTGAAGCTTCCTCACCTGTGTCTATCACACAGGTGAAGCTTCATCACCTGTGTCTATCACACAGGTGAAGCTCCTCACCTGTATCTATCACACAGGTGAAGCTTCCTCACCTGTGTCTATCACCCAGGTGAAGCTTCCTCACCTGTGCCCACTACAAAAACACAAAAGCACTTTCAATCTGATCAATTTATCAATCAAAGTTGTTCAACTGACCCGTTATTACTGACAAAGTTCTCACTAGCCTCTTCAGTCACTTGCACTTATTGATACAACTTACTGATATGAAGATACTAAGATCCTATCGGGTTAAATATTAAACAGTAGCTTTCTCGTACAGACAAAGGCGGAATAGTATCTATTCCCTTTCAACCTTGTGACGTAACAGGGCACAGGGTGGGGTCTTGGGTATATAAGGAGAACGCATCTCTCGATGGACATCACTTGAGATCTTCTCCGTGGACAAGAATCATGACTTATAAGGTGCAGCTAAGCCTCAGTTTCTTTTATATTGTGATTAAGTTGAGCAAACCACATACATTAGAAAGTGAAGGGACGACGACGTTTCGGTCCGGCCTGGATCATTCACAATCGACTTGAGAATGGTCCAGGACGGACCGAAATGTCGTCGTCCCTTCACTTTCTAGTGTGTGGTCTGGTCAAATTATTTCAGCCACGTTATTGTGACTCCTCGCATGCATATTGTGATTAATTTTGTCACGTTAAACAGCGCTAAATTCAATGTTTCTCTCAGGAGTCGTACATGAATAGATTAACGGTGAATACTTAGACAATAACAGATATTGAGACGAATTGTTTTTATATTGATGAAAACATTAATTGCAGGTTACGATCATCGTGGCGGCTCTTGTAGTGGGCGCCATGGCCCGCCCTGAGTCTCCCCCTGTCTACGGGGCTCCTCCACCCCCACCACCTCCATCCCCAACCTACGGAACCCCTCCACCTCCCCCACCCCCAACCTACGGAACCCCACCTCCTCCCCCACCCCCAACCTACGGAACCCCACCTCCTCCCCCACCCCCAACCTACGGACCCCCACCTCCTCCCCCACCCCCAACCTACGGAACCCCTGCCCCACCCCCACCCTACGGAGCCCTGGTGCCTGTGGTAAGCAACCCACTGTGGGCAAGGATGCTCACATGTCTTTGGTCGTGTTTAAAGCAAGACAATAATTATCAACATATTAACATTTGTGACAAATATAGGCTTTGGAGGCACTAGTGAGATACATATAATGTTATAATTATTATTGCAGGCACCTCCCAAGTACGACTTCACATGGGCTGTGAAGGACCAGTACTCTGGTAACGACTTCGGCCACCAGGAGTCCCGGGACGGCTACAACACTCAGGGCTCCTACTACGTCCTGCTTCCCGACGGTCGCCTCCAGAAGGTGACCTACACTGTCCACGGCGACTCCGGCTACGTGGCCGTAGTCACCTACGAGGGCGAGGCCAAGATCCCTACACCCAAGCCTGTCTACGGCGCCCCCGCCCCTGTCTACGCCTAAGTCAATACCGACAACGATAACGAATGTGGTTATATTTATTGTGTATTACACTATGTCATCTGGGCTAATTTATGAATAAACATAATGGGCAAAAATTATACACGTGACCTTTATTAAATCAAAGTGCTCTAGATATATGCACCACATCCCCAGCAAACATGTGAAATATATCTTAGATATATTTCACAAGAATGAGACTTAGATGAGTATGACAACAGTTGTGCCGTGGCGTCCTGGAGAGGGTCAGTAGTTCAACCTTGTGAGGACCTCGATACAAGTTTATATATACACAGGCTTCCTGTCCCCGACAAAGCGAATTATTTGTATAATTGCTAAGTGCTGTTAGAGTTATGATACCTTCGGAAAAAGAGATTTATTACTTGTTTTGGAACTGATAATGTTCATTACCTCTGTACGCGGGTTAATGTTCCAGGGGAGATACCCTAAGACAGCCCGACACAGCTTCTAAGGTGAGACAGGCCAAACACCTCCAAGGGAAACAGATTCGACCGTCACCGGTTCGACAACATTTCTGTCCATTTTCCGATAACGTTTATATCGATTTAATAATAATGTCATGTGACAATGACATAAAATTATTATATTAATGATAACTATAGTAATAATATAAATATTTTCACATTATACTCTAATTTGAAACAAAATTCTTTTGAAAATTAAACGCCTCATTATTAGGTTTACTTAAAACAAAAATCAAATTTATTTAATTTCCTCGTCATCTCACAAACTTTATGAGAGGTACTGTAGATTTTCTTCAGGTAAAAAACTTGTTGTATTCGGGAGTCATACTTGTAAAAGAAGTCATAAAAATGTCTTCCAAATGGTCATTACTCAGAGAAGAATGTTTTTTGTCCACATTCTTGATAGAACAAGTTTCTTCACAAATGTTGGGACTGGTCAAAATGCTCAATGTTGTACTGTAGCTTCAGCAAGATCTTTGTGTACTTTTCACTGTCCAAAAGTCTGTAGAATTCCTACAGACTGCTTTCTCGGTGCTTATTTGTGTAGTCTGATTAACACTGAAGATCATAACGGTCAATGACAATTTTAATGCCAAGTCAGCTGGATACTCTGGAAAGGAATCTTCAATCATCTTCAGTAGAATGTCTTTTTTTTAGACAGTTTTCTGTCATATTCTTCAATTATATCATCAATTTTCAGGGCATATTTTTCTCCTAGCTCGGTGTGCTGTGCTGAGGAATATATTGTGCTCAAGTGGGAAAGGAAACATTTTACCTTACAACAGATGAATTCCGGAAAGCTTTAACTTTACTTTGAAAGCCTTCACTGCTACGAAAAATTTAAATATGTTTTGTTTTAACTTGAAGTTTAGTGTCGAGGTTATTTAGATACTTTAACATTACTAAAGAAGCAACGATTATATTCCAGGACTCGCCTTAAAGTTGAGGAAATTGTCTTGTTTATTCCAGGACTCGCCTTAAAGTTGAGGAAATTGTCTTGTTTATTCCAGGACTCGCCTTAAAGTTGAGGAAATTGTCTTGTTTATTCCAGGACTCGCCTTAAAGTTGAGGAAATTGTCTTGTTTATTCCAGGACTCGCCTTAAAGTTGAGGAAATTGTCTTGTTTATTCCAGGACTCGCCTTAAAGTTGAGGAAATTGTCTTGTTTATTCCAGGACTCGCCTTAAAGTTGAGGAAATTGTCTTGTTTATTCCAGGACTCGCCTTAAAGTTGAGGAAATTGTCTTGTTTCTTGTTTTAGGAACTTGACAACGTCCTCTTTCTGAAGCACGGAAACGCTGAAGCGATTGTATCCCTTCACCTCTGTATGGTAGATTAGGTGACTGTACTCAGCATCTACCTCATCAATAAATCCTCGGATTGTCCAATCTTTCTGTCCCCTAGAACTATTGTAGATAACAAATGAATCTACCCCAGATATTATATAGTCAAATAATAAACTTTGCCACACAATAAAACTTTGCTATCTTGGATGACGCAAGTCTTCCAAGATACTAAACATTGTGGTGTGTGTCACCGCCCGGCCGTCACACGAAGCACATTCCTCAAGTGATCAGTAATGGCCTTAACAGTCACGACGCAGCTCTGATCATATTATTGTTTATCTCATATACGTTTTCTGACCACAAAAGCACTTTTTATCTCTACATTTTATTGCACAAGGCCACTCCATTTTCCAGCTCTTAATATTACAATGGAAATGACATTCATTGATTCTGCCGTGTTTGAAGTTCTATTTTGAATTGCATTTTTCAACAGAATTAACAATATATATGTAATGATCACAAACACATTAGTCTGTCCTGTAAGAAGGTAAATACTTCGCCAAATTAATGGTAAGGTAAGCTGTTGACTAACAATATATTAGATGTGGGATGGATGGATTGTTTCAAGCGGAGGTTAGACAAATATAGGTGTCGAGTTTGGGTAAACGTTCGAGTAAAACAAATATTAGAGGAGTTTGGATGGATATAAATGGCAGCTGTCTCGTATAAGCCAATAGACTTTCTGCAGTTTTCTTAATTGTTTTGTTTTTGTCTCGCTGAATGCTCACCACTTTATATAACAAACCAATAATCAACCTTTTGTAACCTCACTGATCAACCGTGTAACCTGGCCACGAACCTGATGTGGGTTTCTTGGTTGAGAGCCCTTTGATTGGTTGACCCATCTTCTGTCAACACATTGAGAGCCTCCTGATTGGTTGGTCCATCTTCTGACATCACATTGGGCGCCCCCTGATTGGTTGACCCAGCTTCTGACATCACATTGGGAGTCCCCTGATTGGTTGACCCATCTTCTGACATCACATTGGGCGCCCCCTGATTGGTTGACCCAGCTTCTGACATCACATTGGGAGTCCCCTGATTGGTTGACCCATCTTCTGACAACCGTGGGGATACAATATTAGTCAGGCATTACTCATGTTGGTTGGACAGTGCTAGACGCTCCATGACAAGGAGAGCAGCAGGCCGTGAAGGAATAAGAAGGCCTCAAGATGGTATTGCGGACAGGATGGTGTAAAGGAGGTGGGGCGGGAAGCAGGAGAGAAGCTCTAGGAGAGAGCCAAACACAGGAACTCTAACAATAACTAGTTTTTCCGAACTTTAAAACATTCACAGGAGCTTAAAGTGGTTTTGAAGCAAAGTAATCACGACATATCTTTGGATGTTGGTTATCGGAAATAATGACTCCACCGAATTGCGAACAAAATAAATGAAGCGTCGTCACCTATGCCTATCAGCCAGGTGAAGCTTCCTCACCTGTGTCTATCAGCCAGGTGAAGCTTCCTCACCTGTGTCTATCACCCAGGTGAAGCTTCCTCACCTGTGTCTATCACCCAGGTGAAGCGTCCTCACCTGTGTCTATCACCCAGGTGAAGCTTCCTCACCTGTATCTATCACACAGGTGAAGCTTCCTCACCTGTGTCTATCACACAGGTGAAGCTTCCTCACCTGTGTCTATCACCCAGGTGAAGCTTCCTCACCTGTGTCTATCACACAGGTGAAGCTTCCTCACCTGTATCTATCACCCAGGTGAAGCTTCCTCACCCGTGTCTATCACACAGGTGAAGCTTCCTCACCTGTGTCTATCACCCAGGTGAAGCTTCCTCACCTGTGTCTATCACACAGGTGAAGCTTCCTCACCTGTGTCTATCACCCAGGTGAAGCTTCCTCACCTGTGCCCACTACAAAAACACAAAAGCACTTTCAATCTGATCAATTTATCAATCAAAGTTGTTCAACTGACCCGTTATTACTGACAAAGTTCTCACTAGCCTCTTCAGTCACTTGCACTTATTGATACAACTTACTGATATGAAGATACTAAGATCCTATCGGGTTAAATATTAAACAGTAGCTTTCTCGTACAGACAAAGGCGGAATAGTATGAATTCCCTTTCAACCTTGTGACGTAACAGGGCACAGGGTGGGGTCTTGGGTATATAAGGAGAACGCATCTCTCGATGGACATCACTTGAGATCTTCTCCGTGGACAAGAATCATGACTTATAAGGTGCAGCTAAGCCTCAGTTTCTTTTATATTGTGATTAAGTTGAGCAAACCACATACACTAGAAAGTGAAGGGACGACGACGTTTCGGTCAGTTCCGGAATATTCACAATCGACTTGAGAATGGTCCAGGACGGACCGAAACGTCGTCGTCCCTTCACCTTGTAGTGTGTGGTCTGGTCAACATATTTCAGCCACGTTATTGTGACTCCTCGCCTGCATATTGTGATTAATTTTGTCACGTTAAACAGCGCTAAACTCAATGTTTCTCTCAGGAGTCGTACATGAATAGATTAACGAGGAATACTTAGACAATAACAGATATTGAGTCGAACTGTTTTTGTATTGATGAAAACTCTAATTGCAGGTTACGATCATCGTGGCGGCTCTTGTAGTGGCCGCCATGGCCCGCCCTGAGTCTCCCCCTGTCTACGGGGCTCCTCCACCCCCACCATCTCCTCCCCCAACCTACGGAACCCCACCTCCTCCCCCACCCCCAACTTACGGAACCCCACCTCCTCCCCCACCCCCAACCTACGGAACCCCACCTCCTCCCCCACCCCCAACCTACGGAACCCCGCCCCCTCCCCCACCCCCAACATACGGAACCCCACCTCCTCCCCCACCCCCAACCTACGGAACCCCTGCCCCTCCCCCACCCTACGGAGCCCTGGTGCCTGTGGTAAGCAACCTACTGTGGGCAAGGATGCTCACATGTCTTTGGTCATGTTTAAAGCAAGACAATAATTATCAACATATTAACATTGGTGACAAATATAGGCTTTGGAGGCACTAGTGAGATACATATAATGTTATAATTATTATTGCAGGCTCCTCCCAAGTACGACTTCACATGGGCTGTGAAGGACCATTACTCTGGTAACGACTTCGGTCACCAGGAGTCCCGGGACGGCTACAACACTCTGGGCTCCTACTACGTCCTGCTTCCCGACGGTCGCCTCCAGAAGGTGACCTACACCGTCCACGGCGACTCCGGCTACGTGGCCGTAGTCACCTACGAGGGCGAGGCCAAGATCCCTACACCCAAGCCTGTCTACGGCGCCCCCGCCCCTATCTACGCCTAAGTCAATACCGACAACGATAACGAATGTGGTTATATTTATTGTGTATTACACTATGTCATCTGGGCTAATTTATGAATAAACATAATGGGCAAAAATTATACACGTGGCCTTTATTAAATCAAAGTGCTCTAGATATATGCACCACATCCCCAGCAAACTTGTGAAATATATCTTAGAACGTGTCCAGAATACCCATGAATGATACTGCATTAGAATGCAATGAATGTCCAGACATGAGTCATTGCCACTTGCCTCAGACAACGATTCATTGCTAACTCTTCTTCTTGGCAAACTATGACCGGAATCCATCTCTTAGCATAATTAACTCTCCTGTTGTCTAATCATTGACCGTCAATGTCGCGCTCTGTCGCCCTTCAACACAGCCACCAGAGGTAACCCTAAGGAAGTCTAACCTCTGACACCATGATGTTAAATATATGATATCCTCACCAATACTCCATCCCTCTTCAACTCGAATTTCAAAGCACTTCGAGCAGCATAGAATTTAATGTGCAAAAGACCCTAGAAGAAGTTAACATTGGCAGCTTCCTATTCCTAGACATTTCACTCAAAAGTAATGAAAATATTGCCCCTCAATGATAACAATTTTAAACTTTGTTCTTATGCTTTGACATACAAAAAGAATCTCTGACAAATTATTTTGATGTCGATATCTACAGAATCTGCTGCAAGTTATAGCGATATTACAATGGTCCTGAATGTCATTTCGAAGTATATTGTGTTCCTGAGCATATGAAGATGATGTGATCACATTCATGTTCATATGATTTCGTGGTGTATTTGAAGCGTTGGAGGTGAACTCCAAGACCACACCCAAAGTGCACGTGGGCAATGTGTATAAAACTCTGACTTGGCATCAGGATCCCTAGAGAACTCAGTTGAATCCTAGATTGCAATGCTTTTGACCATGTCCATGTGTAGTGGTCTAAGGTGTATGTATACCCAGAGCATAGGTTCCAATCCTCCTTATGGCTCCTAGTAATTTCATCATATTTATTATTATTGCAATAATTGACGTAAACAAGCAGCTATCCGGTTCCGGGAAATGACTAAGGAGAGGGGTTGGAATCCACCTGTTGCCTCTTCAGACAGAAGGGGTTTCAGATAAAGCAAAATGTGTGCCGATGTATTTCTTATTCAGGGAACGAAGCCCATTGTGAGTCATAGCTTCGAACGCAGACAGACATATGTACAAACGACGGACTGTTGCCGACTGAGAAAATGCATATTTAGTGCACACTCATCATGAACCTGCCGACCCTTGTTTTGGGTTGCATAGTAGCAACAACTTTATTTATTATTCTTTTGAGATATATACAAGAGTTGTTACATTCTTGTAGAGCCACTAGTACGCGTAGCGTTTCGGGCAGGTCCCTGGAATACGATCCCCTGCCGCGAAGAATCGTTTTTTCATCCACATACACATTTTACTGTTGAGTTAAATAGAGGCTACAGTTAAGGAATTGCGCCCAGTAAATCCTCCCCGGCCAAGATACGAACCCATGACATAGCGCTCGCGGAACGCCAGGCGAGTGTCTTACCACTACACCACGGAGACTGTATAAATGACAAGTATTGAGAAGTCATACTTGATATCATTACATTACAATAACTTCAACAAGTATCATGAATCCCAGCATTAATCTTGATGATGACAAGTTTCTTGAAGGTCAGTAGGAATCACGAAGCCACCATGTTTCTTGATTTCTTCAATAATGTTTGTATCAATATTTTATGCTAAGTTTAACATCGTGATCAACCTGAAGCAGTGTCACTCTTCTTGTGTCATTCTCAAGAAACTTCAATAATGATCGTCCATCGTCTGACACTCACTTGCAGCAAACTATCGAAATATGTAGACGTTCGAGCAAGCAATTTAACAAATTTTATTACTGGGCTTGAGGTCTATCTACCTTTAATAGCTTGGTAACCAACTTACACATTTGGCGTTGGGGTTATGGCCTATCAACCTCTAAAAGGTTATTCAGGCCATCACAGTAACTCACTGACCAACAAGTAAGTTCAATGTTGGGCTGAAGGTCTATCAACCTCTTGGGGGGTTATTAAGGTCACCACTATAACTTTCCCATCAACAAACAAGTTCACTTTAGTTCTGAACATAGACCGGGACTAAAGTAAACTATAAGTTCATATACACAGTGAATCTGGGTATACACCTCTTGGTGTATACATCACTTGGATATGAGTTCTGGCCCACTGACTTCAAATACGTAGTCTAAAACTAAATATAGTATACACTAAGAAAAATATTCTCTCACAGGAGGACAATTTCCAGGTTCATGATTCGAAACCAACAGATGAATTGTAACAGGTGTCACTCCGCTGAACATACAAATTAATATTAACCTACGTGAACCCCTTAAACTTTCAGCGCTAGTACGTGTACAAAACAGAAAGCTGTCAAGTGAAAGTAGCATTTACTAAAAGTTTCATGTGATTATGTTTGTTTATGGAGCTGGTGAGATAACTGAGAGAGACGTGTTGTTATAACTAATAAATTAGAGTTCTAAAATATTGGCATCAAAGGAATCTCTAAATTCCCCAGATAAAGGCAGTTGACACACAAGAGATTGACCCGGGGTTCGCATCCCGGAAAGGGTGAGACGTTCTGGCACATTTACCTGCACCTGATGGACCTGTTCACCTAAACTGTTGTGAGCTGCATCCTAGAGAAGGGCACTCGTTAGTTATGAGGCTCTTGATAATACAAGACTCCAGCTGTCACCGACGATTGGCAATTGACGATTTGGACATAGATAAGATAAAGAAGTTATATGAATAAGATATAGCAGATGGTTTCTTTATATACTGGAATATTTTCCAGAAACATTCTTCAAGTTCTCAAACGTTCGAATCTTTCAAGTTTTAATCTGAAAGGAAAGTTGTCTTTGAAAAAGAAAATAATTGTATTTATATTATGCATTTATTTTTGCTTCATGGATTACTATTCTTTTCAATAAATAAAATCACAGTCGAATTTAAATATATTAGGACTTAGTAGTAAGACTCAGTTGGGGAATAAACTGCTTAGCTAGACAGTTAAGCTAAAGTATGCAGATGATTTCGTCGTAGACAGAAACTGGGTAATAGACAGAAACTAAGAAGTAAACAGGTACTGGAATATAGACAGGGGCAGGACTTTAGTAGCGGTCGAGGGCTTGAATTAATTGTAGAGAGAGAAGCTGGACGTAGATGCAAGACGGGAGCTTGTCTTAGTTGTAGACAGGAGATGTGGTGTAGACTTAAATAGGGAGCATGTCCTAGTTGTAGAAAACAGCTGGGATATTGATCGAATCATAGATGGAGATGGAGGCCAAGTTCTTGGTCTAGCCGAACACTGGAGGTGGGGCGTAGACAGGAGCTGGGGTGGTGGGAGGAGATGGAATGTAGACGGGTGGAGTGTAGACAGGAGGTGGGGTGTAGACGGGTGTCGGGGGCTTGGCCTGGCCCTCGTAGGTCACAACAGGAACATAACCGCCTTCACCGTCGACAGTGTAAACAACCTTCTGCACTCGACCGTCGGGAAGCAGGACGTAGTAGACGCCCTCCGTGTGGGGACCATCACGGGTCTCGTCGTGGCCGAAGTCGTTGCCGGAAGCGTCGTCCTTCACCTTCCAGCTGAAGGAGTACTTTGCAGGTGCCTGAAATATGAATAAGAAAACTGGAATATAGGTCCCGAGTCTCACTAGACGACACCAGACAACCTCCAACTTACTGCTAAGACAAGAGTTAAACAAATATTTTCTTATATAACATTGGTGTCATACTTAATAAACATTGAATTGTGGGGAGATCCACACTTGCTTCTCTGAAGATGACCCGAGACCCGAATCACTAACAGAAAAAATATAACATTTAAACTTGTCGTTGTTAGGTGTTCCATGAACTAGAAAACGATAACTCCCAGAGATGGACATTGAGATAGACATTTACCTCAGGTGGGGGGCTTGGAGGTCCGTAGACTGGGGGAGGTGGTGGTGGTGGTGGTGGGGGCGGGGCACCGTAGGTGGGGGCAGGAGCTGGAGCATGGTCGGGGCGGGCAGCGGCGGCCGCCACAAGAGCGACCACAACTATGATCTGAGAATATAATAATTAAAAATTACTCTCAATATTTATTCGAGAAATATATGAAAAACTTGTGTGTATATTTCATTGTATAAAGAACTCTTAAAAATGACCAACACTTTCCAATACTAATCAATAATATCTGTAAAAAAATCAAAAGCGAGCAATACAGATGTTTCTGTACCTTGTAAGACATCTCGGGCAAGGAAGAGGGTGAGTACTGATGCCCAGCAAGGATCCCAACCCCTTATATACCCCAGCCTCCACCCTGTCTCTCATGACGTCACAACCTTGATATGGTAAAGAACTGGGTTGTACCCTTAACATTTTATTTATAACAGACGAATGGGAGCTGAAGTCAACAATTAGAGCATCAAGAATCTTCTTCAGGCAAGTCTCGTGTAACGCAGAATGCATAATAAAGTGAAGGGAAGCTGTAGGTTCTCATAGACAGATCAAGAGGACCGTAGCCTCAGAGGTGTCACTACCTCTGAGGCATCTCTCTAAAACACTTTGGTAACATGCCTCAGACATTCCCCTATCTTCACACAAGCAAATCTGAATAACGTGATATATCTATGAGGAAACGTTTGGAGCCGGACGAGGATCGATCGATATCGCAGTCCGTGAGTTCAGGTGCACATCTGGGGCTACCCAGAGTGACTATCTTCTTGAGGTTATCTTCTTGAGGTTATCTTGAGATGATATCGGGGCTTTAGTGTCCCCGCGGCCCGGTCCTCGACCAGGCCTCCACCCCCAGGAAGCAGCCCGTGACAGCTGACTAACTCCCAGGTACCTATTTACTGCTAGGTAACAGGGGCATAGGGTGAAAGAAACTCTGCCCACTGTTTCTCGCCGGCGCCTGGGATCGAACCCAGGACCACAGGATCACAAGTCCAGCGTGCTGTCCGCTCGGCCGACCGACCGGCTGACAGTCAGATCCCCGGACCTACACCAAAGCTTTTCTCGTTTACCATCTTTCTTAGCCTGGGAGCCCTAACCCTCTGGGTGTCTAAAGATATCTGGAATGTCTCGCACCTTTCTTACCCTTGGACACTTTTTGGAGTCCAGGAGTCTCGGGTAAGGTGCTAGGGATGTTCCAAACTTTTTTGATCCTTCATATACATATACAAAAATTTTAATGTGAGCTGCAAACAGAACCTAAAAACAGAACCCTTGCCAAGTGACAAATATATTAATTATGAAACTATTCATCATCAGATTTGAAATGTGTAAATAATAATTGGTTTTATCATTACCACAGAAATACAAATCATTTGTTTTGATTGAAGTCATATAAATTGTTGCAATAACTTCTGTTATGTGGATTGTTAACTTTATTTAATACAACAAAAATACATGATATATTAAATTAATTTAGAAAATCTATTAAGATATATCTGTACTACAAATAATAGAGAATCTAGAAAATTGGTCAACTTTGCTTGAAGTAGAATTAAAACTTCCCATTCACCTGGGCTGAAGGAGACTCAAACCGTCTCAAACTTAGAATATTCTCTAATTTTACCGCTCTAGTGTAATATTTGATTATTTGAAAGGTCGTCGAAATATTTAAAAAAACACGTAATAATATTATGTTCCCCAAACTTTTGGTTGACACGTGAGGAAATTTTTCATCATGGATTTGGTGATTTTTGAACGTACACTTAAAACCGTGGCCCACACCTGCCCTAGACTCTTAGAGGGTTAGTTGTCTCTAATCTATCACAGTATCTCTGAGGTAAGCGCTGTGCCTCCCGCGATGTGGTCCTCTCGAACTGTCGCTGAGAACCTCCAACGTTCCTTGACCTTGTAATCCAGTCAGCGTTAAACGACAGTAACTGCAAATGAAGATGATTGTCGATGCTCTATTTTTTGTCTTCGTCGCTCATTGGTCTGAAGTAAGTAACATGTCAGGGGTACAACACCCCCTTCCCTACCATCTCAAGGTTGTGACGTCATGACAGGCAGGGTGGAGGCTGGGGTATATAAGGGGTTGGGATCCTTGCTGGGCATCAGTCCTCACCTCTTCCTTGCCCGAGATGTCTTACAAGGTACAGAAACATCTGTATTGCTCGCTTTTGATTATTTTACAGATATTATTGATTAGTATTGGAAAGTGTTGGTCATTTTTAAAAAGTTCCTTATAAAGTGAAATATACACACAAGTTTTTCATATATTTCTCGAATAAATATTGAGAGTAATTTTTAATTTTTATATTCTCAGATCATAGTTGTGGTCGCTCTTGTGGCGGCCGCCGCTGCCCGCCCCGACCATGCTCCAGCTCCTGCCCCCACCTACGGTGCCCCGCCCCCGCCCCCACCACCACCACCACCTCCCCCAGTGTATGGACCTCCAAGCCCCCCACCTGAGGTAAATACGTATTTCAATTCACACAGAAATCACGTATTCACTTTCGGGAATGTATATACTCCTGTTGTCTCTAGTAATAGGCTTATTGTTATGACTAACCAGAGAACTTTATATCTTTTACTAACTCACGTCTGGGGCCATCTTTCACACAAACAAGTGACGATCACACCACACATCATCATTTCTTAACTATTACACCAACTTTATATAGGGCAATATTAGACAAACTCTTGTTTTAGTTTTAAAAGAAGGTTTTCTGGCGATGTTCTAGTGAGACACAGGAAGTATAAATCCGATTTGTTATTGTTATTTCAGGCACCTGCAAAGTACTCCTTCAGCTGGAAGGTGAAGGACGACGCCTCCGGCAACGACTTCGGCCACGACGAGACCCGTGATGGTCCCCACACGGAGGGCGTCTACTACGTCCTGCTTCCCGACGGTCGAGTACAGAAGGTTGTTTACACTGTCGACGGTGAAGGCGGTTATGTTCCCGTTGTGACCTACGAGGGCACGGCCAAGCCCCCGACACCCGTCTACACCCCACCTCCTGTCTACACCCCAGCTCCTGTCTACACTTCACCTCCCGCCACCGCCCCACCTCCTGTCTACACTCCTCCCCCCACCACCCCTGCTCCTGTCTACGCCCCACCTCCAGTGTACGGCTAGGCCAAGCCCTCTTCCTCCCCGGCTCCACTCTACGGCTTGTTCAGTCCCCGGAACTCTGTCTAAACCTCCATCTCTTGTCATCCTCTGACTATAACTAAGTCAAAATATTTAAATTAGGCTGACTGTATTTATTTAAAATGCTATTAACAAAGTAAGCAAAAATAAATGAATATGAAAAACAAAGTTTTTAATTTTTACAATGACAATTATTCAATAAGGTAAAAATATTAAAAAATGGAACACATGCTAGGCGATTAAGGAGGAATCACTGGTCGACAACACCAGTATTTAATAAGATAGGAACAATATTGTCTAAGACTCATATGTCTAAGCATTCCATCTGTATTTTTCTCTTTGCCTCCGTCTTGTCTGTCTGTCTGTTAAAATGTATCTGTCCTCAGGAGGTAAAATTCAGGTAAATACAAATATGTTGACCAGACCACACACTAGAAAGTGAAGGGACGACGACGTTTCGGTCCGTACTGGACCATTCTGAAGTCGATTGTTACCGAAACGTCGTCGTCCCTTTATTTTCTAGTTTGAGTTTTGGTCAACATATTTCAGCAACATTATTTTGACTCCTCGTCTGCGTAAATGCAAAGTCTCTAACATGGCTCTCTAGAATGTCATTTATTCACTTCACCAAGGCCACGTGTCCTCACATATGCCATCAAACATCGTACTCTCTTGAATAACAACAAATTTTTTATGCTGCACAATAGTTTTGTGATTAGTTGATATTAGCGTAGGTTAGTTTTGCCATTTGGTTCTATTGCCAAAGTATGTTTAATTTTGTAATTAAAAATAGTAGCCGAAGATGCAGTTAGCATTTACCCTCCTGAACGAAACGTTTTGGGAATGAAAAAGAAACCTGGGGAGCCCTTAGGTCTCTTGTTGTGTCGCTGAGATTGGAACCCAAAACCACTGAGAAAGCTCCAGATTGTTTTTCTCAAAGGATCAAGGGAATCAGATACTCTCTGGACAAAGTTGACAAGTGTTATAGATGACTCCATTACTGTTGTGCAGGTACATCAAAACAAATTATATACATAAATATATAAAAGTCAGTCTTTTGACTAATGTATCATAAATAAAAGTCAAAATTCCCGTAATAGAATGTATTATTAAAATTTACATGACATCAATCAAAACAAGTGACAAAAAGATCCCGCCATTTATCCTGTTGATTTCTGCAAGTTGGATCTTGCAATTCGGCAGTGTTTAGGCACTTTTGGTTAGGGTAATTGATATTCGCACCGGGATACCAAAATTTTTTCCATTAATAAATTCATTTTTTTATTAAGATATGAGGTACATCTGCATTAGTGCAGCTACCCTAGACTATATGAAGGTAAAAATGTCAGTGTGTCAAAAAAGCCAAAAGTAAAAAGTGCTTAATATAAGAAAAGTAAAATCTACTTAATATAAGTTGAATAAAATGATGGATAAATTTCAGGAGGTAAATATAAAATAACAATATAAGTGAAATAACTGAGCTAAATGATAATGTATAACCTGTAATCAACAAATACCTGTAATAAGACTTCACTGAGAACTAGGTTACTTACAGTCAGAAGTGCAGCAGGTAAAGTAACAATATAGTACCTTATAAAACTTAAACATAAGATAACACATAATTTAACTGCAACCAACGTGAACATAGTTGTAAGTTAAAGTCCACATAAAAGGATGAAAGTTAACAGTATTTAGCACCCACTGGAAATGCCTAATTACTGACGTATGATAACAATTTAATAAGGAGGTGGGCCAGGCGTCAGGTAGCATAGATAACAAACATCTTAAGCTCCTAACAAAAGGAAGATTTTCAGTCTCTGTGGCGAAGTGGTAAAACACTCTCCCCTGGCTATGTAAGCGAATTATCCTGGGTTCCTATCCTGGCCGGGGAGGGTTGACTAGTCGCCAATCCTTAAATGTACGCCTTTTACGCAGCATTGAAAGGGTAACTGGTTGTAAACGATTTAGCAGGTCATATTCCAGGAAAAATTAAGATTAAGGACCTGCCGAAAAACGCTATGCGTGCTAGAGGCTTACAAAGAACGCAAGAACTCTTGTATCAAAAAAATGGGCAGACACCTGGCCCAAGCACCCGAGAGGAGGACAGTAAAAGTGACATGTTTGCCTGACATCTTAAGGAAAAGAAGGTAGCTGCTACTAGCGTGCATGGACAGCAATCGAGTGCAAGAGTGTGTGTGTGTGTGTGACTTGGGGGGGTCCTTAGTTGCCGCCAAACGCCAGGAAGCCCTGGCACAGAAGTTTTGGCATTGATGGCTTCGTCTGGTAGGCGGTACCACGGGTTATACGAATGAAACAAGCGTCCCCTGTTTACTGTCCTACATTGTGCCTTGTTGAGCGTGAATCCTTTGTTTTTTGTGTATGTTACATGCGACTTTTCGAAGAATATTTCACTTTCTGAGAGAGAGAGAGAGAGAGAGAGAGAGAGAGAGAGAGAGAGAGAGAGAGAGAGAGAGAGAGAGAGAGAGAGAGAGAGAGAGAGAGAGAGAGAGAGAGAGAGAGAGAGAGAGAGAGAGAGAGAGAGAGAGAGAGAGAGAGAGAGAGAGAGAGAGAGACAGACAGAGATAGAAACAAACAGTAACGGAGACAAAGAGAAAGAGGTGGATGGAATCATAGGACATATAAATATTAGACAATATAGTTTCTATCTATATTAATATTGGTGTTTTCGACCAAAGATTACTTCTCAATGGCCAGCAACCGTTCGATTATTTTTTACATTTTTATCTTACTGAAAAATTTTCATTGTAAATAATAAGTAAATAATAAAGATATTGTTTTTTATATTCATTTATTTTTCCTTATAGCATTTAAAATAAATATAGTCACACTCGAATATATATATTTTGATTTAGTCAAAGTGAGATGATGACAAGGGCTGGAGGTTTAAACAGAGTTTGGAGGACTGAACAAGCCATAGAGTGGAGCCAGGAGGTAAAAGAGCCTCGCCTAGCCGTACACTGGAGGAGGAGTGTAGACAGGAGCAGGGGTGGTGGGGGGAGGTGGAGTGTAGACAGGAGGTGGAGTGTAGACGGGTGTCGGGGGCTTGGCCTCACCCTCGTAGGTCACAACGGGAACATAACCGCCTTCACCGTCGACAGTGTAAACAACCTTCTGTACTCGACCGTCGGGAAGCAGGACGTAGTAGACGCCCTCCGTGTGGGGACCATCACGGGTCTCGTCGTGGCCGAAGTCGTTGCCGGAGGCGTCGTCCTTCACCTTCCAGCTGAAGGAGTACTTTGCAGGTGCCTGAAATAACAATAACAAATAGGATTTATACTTCCTGTGTCTCACTAGAACATCGCCAGAAAACCTTATTTTAAAACTAAAACAAGAGTTTGTCTAATATTGCCCTGTATAAAGTTGGTGTAATAGTTAAGAAATGGTGATGTGTGGTGTGATCGTCACTTGTTTGTGTGAAAGATGGCCCCAGACGTGAGTTAGTAAAAGATATAAAGTTCTCTAGTTAGTCATAGCAATAGTTTCAAAATCAAATACTCAAAGACGACAGTTAGTCAAGAACTATTACAAATGTTGACCAAGTACTGAAGCTTTTCACACCAGCACTTTGAAATAAGTAAACAAATCCACAAGTGTTGTATTGAGGGTTCGAACCCACGTCTGCGAGGATCCCAGACGCGCCTTAATCAACTGTGCTATGACACGGTCAAAAGATTTGTTCAATTGATGCATCACACTTCTGTGATTTCTGTGTGTATTGTATTAAGTATTTACCTCAGGTGGGGGGCTTGGAGGTCCGTAGACTGGGGGAGGTGGTGGTGGAGGTGGTGGTGGTGGGGGCGGGGCACCGTAGGTGGGGGCAGGAGCTGGAGCATGGTCGGGGCGGGCAGCGGCGGCCGCCACAAGAGCGACCACAACTATGATCTGAGAATATAACCATTAAAAAATTACTCTCAATATTTATTCGAGAAATATATGAAGAACTTGTGTGTATATTTCATTGTATAAAGAACTCTTAAAAATAACCAACACTTTCCAATACTAATCTATAATATCGGTAAAATAATCAAGAGCGGGCAATGCAGATGTTTCTGTACCTTGTAAGACATCTCTGGCAAGGAAGAGGGTGAGGACTGATGCCCAGCAAGGATCCCAACCCCTTATATACCCCAGCGTCCACCCTGCCTCTCATGACGTTACAACCTTGAGATGGTAATGGTTGTGGCTGTATCCCTGACATGGTATTCATTACAGACCAATGGGCGGTAGCGACAACAATTAAAGCATCAACGATCTTCTTTACTTGCAACAGGTCTCGTGTAATGCAGACCGCATTACAAGGTCATGGAAAGTTGTACTGTAGGTTCTGAGAGACGGGTCCAGAGGACCACGTCCCGGGAGGCAGAGGTAACCTCAGAGATGTTACAGTTAGAGAAGCGACCACTAACTCTTGGATTCTAGGGGCTACATGCCTGAGGTACTTCACATGTTTCCAAATTCTTAAACACTAACCCTCTGTTAGTCTAGGATAAGTTGTTTGGGATATTTCGCACCTAACCTGTCTCTTGCCATGCAATTTAAGGAATTATAATATTTAGCTACCAACAAGACCTCCAAGAAATCATCGCCAAGTGTTAAAGATATTATTAAACTACTTTCTTCACATTTACAATATTTTCCAATTAATTATATAATGATTTTGTTTATTTTATTTTGAAGCTAAAGAATAGCTTCAAATTGACTTGCAATTTGACGATTGACTTGCAATACAAGTCAATCGTCTTGATTGAAGTATTGCAAATTGCCGAAATAATTTCCTTTCTCGAGGGGGAAAGGGGAGTGGCAGCTTGTTTACTGTATTTAATACAAAATAAATGTTGAATTTTAACTAATTAAGAAAATTTGTCGTGATGTATCTGCATTACATAAGTGGATCATTGAAACTGGCAAACTCTGTCACAGCTAATCTGAGACCCTTGACCTAAAGGGAAGAAACGATCAGCAGCTCCCTCGGGCGTTTGGGATTCCATGCTCAACGACTCAAGAAGAGCCCTAAGGGCAGCATACTTCTTTTTCCAGTGCTAGACAGTTTAGATCACATTCATATAATTCTTTAACTATATATCAAGGGTCAGGGAATGTTGCGAATATCCACTGCACCTTACCCAAGTTCCCTGGACTCCTAGAAGGCAAGTGTTTAAGGTTCAAGAAGGGTGTGAAATGTCTCAGATAGCTAGCAGTCTTTAGATGCTTAGAGGGTGTTTAAAGGCTAAGAAAGGTGGTAATGTCTTAGACAGGTTACCCTAGACACGTAGAGAGTTATTGATCACTTCTCGTACTGTAATATATCTGAGGTTAGCGCGGTGCCTCCCGGCATATGGTTATCTTGAAGTTATCTTGAGATGATTTCGGGGCTTTTTAGTGTCCCCGCGGCCCGGTCCTCGACCAGGCCTCCACTCCCAGGAAGCAGCTCGTGACAGCTGACTAACACCCAGGTACCTATTTTACTGCTAGGTATCAGGGGCATAGGGTGAAAGAAACTATGTCCATTGTTTCTCGCCGGCGCCTGGGATCGAACCCAGGACGAGTCCAGCGTGCTGTCCGCTCGGCCGACCGGCTCCCTCGATCATTTCTGAGAATCTACAACTATACAACTACTACCCAGGACCACAGGATCACAAGTCCAGCGTGCTGTCCGCTAGGCCGACCGGCTCCTCTCGATCATTTCTGAGAACCTACAACTATACTTGACCTTATATAAAATTCTGCTTTACACGAGACTTGCTGGAAGTAAAGAAGATAATCGATGCTCTATATATTGTCTCCAGCTCCCACTGGCTTGTAATAAATAGCATGTTAAGGGTGTAACACCATTCCTTACCATCTCAAGGTTGTGACGTCATGAGAGGCAGGGTGGAGGCTGGGGTATATAAGGGGTTGGGATCCTTGCTGGGCATCAGTCCTCACCTTCTTCCTTGCCAGAGATGTCTTACAAGGTACAGAAACATCTGTGTTATCCGTTCTAGATATTTTTTTCCATTTTATAGTTTTCCTCATTATAAGCGGTCTGTATACTATGCGATGTTCTTACAAATGATATATATATATATATATATATATATATATATATATATATATATATATATATATATATATATATATATATATATATATATATGTTTCTCGTATGAATATTAAGAGGTGATATTTTATTGTGATATTCTCAGATCATAGTTGTGGTCGCTCTTGTGGCGGCCGCCGCTGCCCGCCCCGACCATGCTCCAGCTCCTGCCCCCACCTACGGTGCCCCGCCCCCACCTCCACCACCACCACCTCCCCCAGTCTATGGACCTCCAAGCCCCCCACCTGAGGTAAATATCTATCTCAATGTCCATCCATATGAGTTATCGTTCTCTAGTTCATGAAACACCTAACAACGACAAGTTTAAATGTTATATTTTTTCTGTTAGTGATTCGGGTCTCGGGTCATCTTCAGAGAAGCAAGTGTGGATCTCACCACAATTCCATATGTGTTAAATATGACACCAATGTTATATAAGAAAATATTTGTTTAACTCTCGTCTTAGCGGTAAGTTGGAGGTTGTCTGGTGTCGTCTAGTGAGACACGGGACCTATATTCCAGTTTTCTTATTCATATTCCAGGCACCTGCAAAGTACTCCTTCAGCTGGAAGGTGAAGGACGACGCTTCCGGCAACGACTTCGGCCACGACGAGACCCGTGATGGTCCCCACACGGAGGGCGTCTACTACGTCCTGCTTCCCGACGGTCGAGTGCAGAAGGTTGTTTACACTGTCGACGGTGACGGTGGTTATGTTCCTGTTGTGACCTACGAGGGCCAGGCCAAGCCCCCGACACCCGTCTACACTCCACCTCCTGTCTACACTCCACCTCCTCCCACCACCCCTGCTCCTGTCTACGCCCCACCTCCAGTGTACGGCTAGACCAAGACCTTGACCCTGTCTCCACCTATGATTCTATCAACATCCCAGCTGATGTCTACAACTGGGATAAACTCCCTATCACAGTGTGCACTATCTACATCTACATCTCAACTCCTGTGTACGATTACGCTCCTGATCTGCATCTACACCCAATTTCTCTCCACGCTTAACCCAAGCCCCGACCCCCCATTCTAAACTCCAGCACCTGTCTAGACCTTAGTACCTGTTTATTCCCTTGCTTCTGTCTATTACCGAGCTTCTTTCTGCGACAAAATCGACAGTATGCTTCAGTTTCGCTTTCCAACCAAGCAGTTTATTCAGCAACTGAAACTTACAACTAAGTCATAACATTTTTCGATTCGACTGTGATTTTATTTATTGATAATAATATTATTAAATAAAGCAAAAATAAATGCATAATAAAAATTCATTTACTATCTTTTACAACGAAAAGGTTCCATTCAGATAAAAGTTTAAAATATTCGAATGTTTGAGAACTTTAAGGTGTTCCTGGAAAATGCTTGCAGTATATAATGATATCAAGTGCATTATCTGATGTAAATGCATTATCATATATACGGCCGAAGGAAGATTTCCAATCGTTGAAGACAGCTACAAACTCATAAGGATTATTAGGGTCCTCTTAGTAAACTATTAATCTTCACCAGGATGAATCCTACCATAGTCGGCTAACTTCCAGCCTACCATTTGCTACTAGGTGAACAGAGACATTATATGATAGAAAATGTGCCTAAATATCTCACCCTTGCCAGGAATCGAACCCGTGGCCAATCTGCTGTGAGTCGACAGCTCTTATCACCGGATAAATTACTACAATCAGGAACTATCGACGATCTGAACGAAAACCAGGTCGACAAACAAACATAAACACATGTTCACATAAACACATAAATACTTTTGTTCATCTCGAATCATGAGCCTGGAAATTGCCCTCCTGTGAGATAATATATTTCTTAATTAGTGTATACGATATTTAGCTTTAGACGACATATATGAAGTCAGCGGCCAGAACTCATATCCAAGGGATATATACACCGAGATATATATACCTTGGTTCACGGTGTATATGCACTAATAGTTTACTTTAGTCCCAGTCTATGTTCGAGAAAAGTATACATACTGTTGGCCAGAAAAGAAATATAGTTGTGGCCTTAATAACCTTCCAGAGGTTATTAAGCCCTTCCAGAGGTTATTAAGCCCTTTCAGAGGTTATTAAGACCTTCCAGAGGTCATTAAGACCTTCCAGAGGTTATTAAGCCCTTCCAGAGTATTAAGCCCATGACCAAAACCAGCTTATTACTAACTGATTTGCTTGCTCAGACATCAACATATTGCTCCAAATGATCGTAAGGCGATGGGTGCTCGCTGATGGAGTGCAGGCGATGAGTCACAATAACGTGGCTAATGTATGTTGACCAAACCACACACTAGAAGGTGAAGGGACGACGACGTTTCGGTCCGTCCTGGACCATTCTCAAGTCAATTGTGATGAGGAAGATTGTGATGGAGTGTTTCTTGAGAATGAAAGACGCAGTGATGCTGTTTGTGGCTGATCACGAAGTTAAGCCTGGCAGAAAATATTGATACAAAAACTACTTAAGAAATCAAGAAACGGTTTGTTCATGATGCTTTATGATCTTGAAGTAACCTTGAAGCGTCATGATATATAATTATTTTCATGATGCTTATTGAGCTCATTTATACTCTGTGGTCTCAGGACGCTGGATTCTTAATACTTGTCAACCATTGCTACTTAGGCAACCAAAAATCAAAATGTGGCAGTTCACGACGTGTTTCCTATTTATGGACTCTCCCAGTCGGTAATAGTTTACATTTTGTACATTTGTCAGCCTATGTTTGAAGCTATGACTCGAGACTGGCTTTGTTTACTTTCATCCTGTACTGTCAACGCTCCCCCAAGTCCCAGCTCATCCTCCTAAAATGAATGTACTTGTAGTAACTGTTTGGTTCAATGTGATGGACCACCAGAAAGTTAACTTTTATATTATTAAATCTGGACAACCCGGAAATATATGTTTAACCGCAACATAATTATAAGACCTAACCTAACCTCTCCCCGCAATCCTAGGCCTAGTACACGCTTCCTTAGGCCTAATTTCGTGAATATAAGTTCTATACTAATCCTAGGTGTATTAGCTTGATTTTTTCCTGACTCTTAAAAATTCACAGTACAATAAGTGCTTTACTGGTGGTCCGTCACTGTATAATTGTAATCTCGACCATATATTTACCTTACGGAGACATGTCACTAGCGCTACGGATCCCTGTCTCAGACGGAGAGTGTGCGAGGGACGGAAGGGGGCATTGTCGGGAAAGCGCCAAGCCATTACGACTATATAGCACTGGGAAAGGGGTCAGGATAAGGATTTGGGATGGGTCGGTGCGGGGGAAGGAATGGTGCCCAATCACTTGTGGACGGTCGGGGATTGAACGCCGACCTGCATGAAGCGAGACCGTCGCTCTACCGTCCAGCCCAAGTGGTCGGACAAGAGGGACGACGGAACTAAATATGATCTACTTAGCCACACTTTCCGGTTTAATATGATCTACTTAGCCACACTTTCCGGTTTAATATGATCTACTTAGCCACACTTTCCGGTTTAATATGATCTACTTAGCCACACTTTCCGGTTCATCGACCTCGCCCGTCGTCTGAAGCGGCTATATGGGGGATTCCAACCCTCATTTGCAATTTCTCGAAACCGTGTAGCATCTGATTCTAAGGTCTTCGCCACCTCTAAATCCTCAACAGCAACTGGCTTTTGTAATTTTATCTAGGCCTATATATGCATAGACCCACAATATAAAATATGATACATTTATATATGTGATAAAACTTAGTTTTTACACCATATTAAATATTCATCCTAAAAATTCGTTGCTCCGTTTATAAGTCAATTATTGACTAATTAAAGCCTTGATAGTCAGCATATGTATCAATTGCTTGTACCGAGTGGTACATAGTTAAACATGCGTATCACGCGTTCAAGAACACCGCAAATATGCAGACGAGGAGTCACAATAACGTGCCTGAAATATGTCGACCAAACCACACACAAGAAAGTGAAGGGACGACGACGTTTCGGTCCGTCCTGGACCATTCTCAAGTCGATTGTCGACTTGAGAATAGTCCAGGATGGACCAAAACGTCGTCGTCCCTTCACTTTCTAGTGTGTGGTTTGGTCAACACCGCAATATCTGTGTCACGTTCACATTAACACTTCAACCACTATGTCATACCCTCAATTACATCGATATATTCATGTCACACGCTCAGAAACATTGTAACATCCATGTCATATTATCAGGTGCAACGTGTAACTCATTTTATCGACGTAAACGTTACAGCTCTTATGTATGACAGTAACAGTCCTTGTGTACGGCTGTAACAGTCCTTGTGTATGGCCGTAACAGTCCTTGTGTATGGCCGTAACAGTCCTTGTGTATGGCTGTAACAGTCCTTGTGTATGGCCGTAACAATCCTTGTGTATGGCTGTAACAGTCCTTGTGTATGGCCGTAACAGTCCTTGTGTATGGCCGTAACAGTCCTTGTGTATGGCTGTAACAGTCCTTGTGTATGGCCGTAACAATCCTCTACCAACTATACAACCATCAGTACCAACTTGGTGCACGACCAGAAGCCGGAAACAACGAATACAAGACTCTCAACAATCAACAGTCCCTTATTGTTTTTTCTGAAGAACGTTACTCCAGCGATCATTCATTGCCAAGATGATACCCATTTGGAGAGAGAGGACAGGAACACTTTAGTCAATCGCTGTCAGTTTAATCATTCAAACCTAATAAGCTTTTCTTCTAAATAAAAATAAAACTTTTTCTTTACATACAGAAACCAATTTTGTTTTTATTACACGTTTATTTGCTCGATTGTTAAATAACATTTTAAATAAATATTATTAAAGTTGGCTTTAAATATTTTGAGTCATAAGAAGTTGGGTGTAAACAGGAGCTTTGCCAAGCTGACGACAGGAGCTGGGGTGCCTGCAGAAGCTGGGGTGTAGGAAGGAACTGAGGTGTAGATAGTGGGTAAGTGTTTGACTTTCCATGGACAGGAGTTGAGGGTTTGGAATGAAGCTCGGTGTACACTTAAGCTAGGGTGTAAAAATGGCGAAAATGAAGACGGATTTCGCGAACTTGTCCTAGCCGTAGACAGGAGGTGGAGTGTAGACGGGTGTCGGGGGCTTGGCCTCACCCTCGTAGGTCACAACAGGAACATAACCGCCTTCACCGTCGACAGTGTAAACAACCTTCTGCACTCGACCGTCGGGAAGCAGGACGTAGTAGACGCCCTCCGTGTGGGGACCATCACGGGTCTCGTCGTGGCCGAAGTCGTTGCCGGAGGCGTCGTCCTTCACCTTCCAGCTGAAGGAGTACTTTGCAGGTGCCTGAAATACCAATACCAAACCTGGTAAATAGATTATATGCCTCGAACTGACACACACACACACAATGTTGGAATAAGTTAGTGAGAAGACAATGGACGCAAGAACTATAAGTAGTTTCAAATGGTCATATAACAAAGATTATTGAGAAAACGGGACACTAAGAGCGTAGTTCACATCCTGTAACTACAGTTACGTAACTACAAACATAGGCACACACACCTCAGGAGGCGGGGGTGGGGGCGGGGCACCGTAGGCTGGGGCTGGGGCTGGGGGCGGAGCTGGGGGCGGGGCACCGTAGACCGGTGCAGGAGCCTGGTCAGGGCTGGCAGCAGCCGCCGCTACAAGAACGACCGCAACTATAATCTGCGAATACATAATAAATAATATAATATTTACTCACATTTAACGATAAATGTATATATGACTTATGTTATATATTTCTTTGTTTACAGAACTCTAAAATTTGCAATAGTTTTCACAAAGAAACAACTTTTGTATATTAATGAAATGAGGATGTTTCTGTACCTTGTAAGACATCTCTGGCAAGGAAGAGGGTGATGACTGATGCCCAGCAAGGATCCCAACCCCTTATATACCCCAGCCTCAACCCTGCCTCTCATGACGTCACAACCTTGAGATGGTAAAGAATGTGGTTGTATCCCTGACATGTTATTTATTATAGGCCATCGGGCGCTGAGTCAACACATAGATCATCGACAATCTTCTTTACTTCCATTACGTCTTGTTTAGTGTAAACCGTATTTCAAGGTGGAGGAAGTTGTAGGTTGTAGGTTATTTTTATTTAAACATTTTAACTCTCAAGATGAATGTTTCCTGTTGAATAGCTTTAAGACTTAAAGATTGTGTTTGTAAAGTTTAGATGGGAGGTTAATACCCTGGTATTATAATTACTTAAATTTCATCTCGTGGGTCACAAAACGGAAGATTTCACAAGCACCTAACCCAAGATTCCTTGATGGTTACCGAAGACTCCAAGACAGATTACCAAAGAGCCTAACAGTCCTAGTGTGTAAAGGCTAAACAAAAGTGGGTAATATCTCAGGTAGGTTATCACTGAGACCTGGAAGAGTAGTGTTCACTTCTCTGACACTAACATCTCTGACACTAGCATCTCTGACACTAGCATCTCTGACACTAACATCTCTAACACTAGCATCTCTGACACTAACATCTCTGACACTAACATCTCTGACACTAGCATCTCTGACACTAACATCTCTAACACTAACATATCTGACACTAGCATTTCTGACACTAGCTTCTCTGACACTAACATCTCTGACACTAACATCTCTGACACTAGCATCTCTGACACTAACATCTCTGACACTAGCATCTCTGACACTAGCATCTCTGACACTAACATCTCTAACACTAGCATCTCTGACATTAACATCTCTGACACTAACATCTCTGTCACTAGCATCTCTGACACTAACATCTCTAACACTAACATATCTGACACTAGCATTTCTGACACTAGCTTCTCTGACACTAACATCTCTGACACTAACATCTCTGACACTAGCATCTCTGACACTAGCATCTCTGACACTAACATCTCTGACACTAGCATCTCTGACACTAGCATCTCTAACACTAACATCTCTGACACTAGCATCTCTGACACTAGCATCTCTGACACTAGCATCTCTGACACTAACATCTCTGACACTAACATCTCTGACACTAACATCTCTGACACTTACATCTCTGACACTAGCATCTCTAACACTAGCATCTCTGACACTAGCATCTCTGACACTAGCATCTCTGACACTAGCATCTCTGACACTAGCATCTCTGACACTAACATCTCTGACACTAACATCTCTGACACTAGCATCTCTGACACTAACATCTCTGACACTAACATCTCTGACACTAACATCTCTGACACTAACATCTCTGACACTAGCATCTCTGACACTAGCATCTCTGACACTAACATCTCTGACACTAGCATCTCTGACACTAGCATCTCTAACACTAACATCTCTGACACTAGCATCTCTGACACTAGCATCTCTGACACTAGCATCTCTGACACTAACATCTCTGACACTAACATCTCTGACACTAACATCTCTGACACTAACATCTCTGACACTAACATCTCTGACACTAACATCTCTGACACTAGCATCTCTGACACTAGCATCTCTGACACTAGCATCTCTGACACTAGCATCTCTGACACTAGCATCTCTGACACTAGCATCTCTGACACTAACATCTCTGACACTAACATCTCTGACACTAACATCTCTGACACTAACATCTCTGACACTAACATCTCTGACACTAACATCTCTGACACTAACATCTCTGACACTAACATCTCTGACTCTAGCATCTCTGACACTAACATCTCTGACACTAACATCTCTGACACTAACATCTCTGACACTAGCATCTCTGACACTAACATCTCTGACACTAACATCTCTGACACTAACATCTCTGACACTAGCGCTGTGCCTCCCGCAATGTGGTCCTCTGGACCCGTCTTTGAGAACCTACAACTTCCTCCACCTTGAAATACGGTTTACACTAAACAAGACGTAATGGAAGTAAAGAAGATTGTCGATGATCTATGTGTTGACTCCAGCGCCCGATGGCCTATAATAAATAACATGTCAGGGATACAACCACATTCTTTATCATCTCAAGGTTGTGACGTCATGAGAGGCAGGGTTGAGGCTGGGGTATATAAGGGGTTGGGATCCTTGCTGGGCATCAGTCCTCACCCTCTTCCTTGCCAGAGATGTCTTACAAGGTACAGAACATCCTCTTTTCATTAATATACAAAAGTTGTTTCTTTGTGAAAACTATTGCAAATTTTAGAGTTCTGTAAACAAAGAAATATATAACATAAGTCATATATACATTTATCGTTAAATGTGAGTAAATATTATATTATTTATTATGTATTCGCAGATTATAGTTGCGGTCGTTCTTGTAGCGGCGGCTGCTGCCAGCCCTGACCAGGCTCCTGCCCCGGTCTACGGTGCCCCGCCCCCAGCTCCGCCCCCAGCCCCAGCCCCAGCCTACGGTGCCCCGCCCCCACCACCGCCTCCTGAGGTGTGTGCCTATGTTTGTAGTTACGTAACTGTAGTTACAGGATGTGAACTACGCTCTTAGTGTCCCGTTTTCCCAATAATCATTGTTATATGACCATTTGAAACCACTTATAGTTCTTGCGTCCATTGTCTTCTTACTAACTTATTCCAACATTGTATGTGTGTGTGTGTCAGTTCGAGGCATATAATCTATTTACCAGGTTTGTTATTGTTATTTCAGGCACCTGCAAAGTACTCCTTCAGCTGGAAGGTGAAGGACGACGCCTCCAGCAACGACTTCGGCCACGACGAGACCCGTGATGGTCCCCACACGGAGGGCGTCTACTACGTCCTGCTTCCCGACGGTCGAGTGCAGAAGGTTGTTTACACTGTCGACGGTGAAGGCGGTTATGTTCCCGTTGTGACCTACGAGGCCCCGGCCAAGCCCCCGACACCCGTCTACACTCCACCTCCTGTCTACGGCTAGGACAAGTTCGCGAAATCCGTCTTCACTTTCACCATTTTTAAACCCTAGCTTAAGTGTACACGCAGCTTCTGTCCAAACCCCCAACTCCTGTCCATGGAAAGTCAAACACTTACCCACTATCTACACCTCAGTTTCTTCCTACACCCCAGCTTCTGCAGGCACCCCAGCTCCTGTCGTCAGCTTGGCAAAGCTCCTGTTTACACCCAACTTCTTATGACTCAAAATATTTAAAGCCAACTTTAATAATATTTATTTAAAATGTTATTTAACAATCGAGCAAATAAATGTGCAATAAAAACTAAATTTGTTTCTGTATTTAAAGAAAAAGTTTTATTTTTATATAGATGAAAATCTTATTAGGTTCGAATGATTAAATTGACAGCGATTGACTAAAGTGTCCCTGTCCTCTCTCTCCAAATGTGTATCACCTTAGCAATGAATGATCGCTGGAGTAACGTTCTTCAGAAAAACACAATATGTTACTGTTGATTGTTGAGCGTCTTGTGTTGTTGTTCCCAGCTTCTGGTCGTCCACCAAGTTGGTACAGAGGAGGAACCTGGAAAGCATTTGCTTTGTACATCACAATTATCTTACTAACATTTATTTGATATTAAACATCAGATGTATTGGCCAGTTTGCCCTTTACACATGAAGATTTGAGATTAGCTTTTTTTCCGGTTCTCTACTTTATGTAGGATAGGATAAAGAATGTCAGACCAGGCAGGAGAGCGTTGTAGTCTCAAGACAGTAATGAATTCGTGTTTCATAAAAGATTTTCCTATCTCTGCAGTCCTGAAGGTTTGAGATGTGTCGTAAGGCTTATATTTCTTGGCTGCCTTGCTTGCTACGTTAATAATTTGCCTCTTCATTGGCATTGAAGTGTCAAACTTTATTCTCAATATATCAACTTCATCACTTAACACTAAGTTTTTGCCAATTGTTTGTTTACATGTTTCCAATGCATTATCATGCTGATATGTTATCATCTTCACCAGTTTTCTCAGTTGCAAATGTGACCTGATATCACCTACCTGCAACGATTACGTCGATAAAAGGAGGATTTCTCAAAATACCGAAACCACCATGATAAATTCTGCTAAAAAATCTTACATTCTTTGTAAAGCTTCCTATTTGTCAAGCTAACCTGTCTTCAGGCTGTGCTCGTCCAAGCTGTGGCCGACCCAACACATCCATTGGGTAAGCTCGTCTAAGCTGCATCAGACCCTAATGATGCAATTTTTACTTAAGGCATATTGTGCATCTAACAACGATTTTTACTTAATTGTAAATTAATGTTACTGTGTACTAGAAGGCGTACCCTGAGTTGCTCGGGTGACAGACGCTACATCTGTATTCCACCAGTTACAACCCCGCTCCTGTGCCAGGTGAGAGAGTCACAACCCCGCTCCTGTGCCAGGTGAGGGAGTCACAAACCCCGCTCCTGTGCCAGGTGAGAGAGTCACAGCCCCCGCTCCTGTGCCAGGTGAGAGAGTCACAACCCCGCTCCTGTGCCAGGTGAGAGAGTCACAACCCCGCTCCTATGCCAGGTGAGAGAGTCACAACCCCGCTCCTGTGCCAGGTGAGAGAGTCACAACCCCGCTCCTGTGCCAGGTGAGAGAGTCACAACCCCGCTCCTATGCCAGGTGAGAGAGTCACAACCCCGCTCCTGTGCCAGGTGAGAGAGTCACAACCCCGCTCCTGTGCCAGGTGAGAGAGTCACAACCCCGCTCCTATGCCAGGTGAGAGAGTCACAACCCCGCTCCTGTGCCAGGTGAGAGAGTCACAACCCCGCTCCTGTGCCAGGTGAGGGAGTCACAACCCCGCTCCTGTGCCAGGTGAGAGAGTCACAGCCCCCGCTCCTGTGCCAGGTGAGAGAGTCACAACCCCGCTCCTGTGCCAGGTGAGGGAGTCACAACCCCCGCTCCTGTGCCAGGTGAGAGAGTCACAACCCCGCTCCTGTGCCAGGTGAGGGAGTCACAACCCCCGCTCCTGTGCCAGGTGAGAGAGTCACAGCCCCCGCTCCTGTGCCAGGTGAGGGAGTCACAACCCCCGCTCCTGTGCCAGGTGAGAGAGTCACAGCCCCCGCTCCTGTGCCAGGGAAGTCCACTACGGGTTCACCATAGCCCGTGCTACTTGCCCCGCTCCTGTGCCAGGGAAGTCCACTACGGGTTCACCATAGCCCGTGCTATATGCAACCTTCGGTTCCCAGCAGCTGAATATAAAACAACAAGCAACATCCTCTCCTCTCTCACAAGACTTGATATTGGTCTAAGACAGACCGAAAAATCGTCGTTTCTCCATTTTCTAATGTGGGGTTTGGTCATCATGGTCGACGACCGGGCCGCGGGGACGCTAAGCCCCGGAAGCACCTCAAGGTAACCTCAAGGTATCAAATGTAGTAGATATGGCAAATAAAAATAAAATCGGGCGTTCGTTAGACAACCGATGGCTAGAAAGGCGGGACCCAAGAGCTAGCAGCTCAATCCTACAGGCAGGAATAGTAAACACATACATGTGTATGTGTATTCACCATTTAAGTTTGTATGTGTGTATAGTACAGGGGAATGAGATCTACCTTCTTATGATCCGCCCAATAGCCTTGTACCTGTTGCGTTACAACCTAACTACTCTGAGTTTGAAATGATTTGTCGAATCTGGTCTTAAAGTTGTGACAATTAGTTTTTTTTTAGAGATTCCACTTGTTAATTTCCCGTACATATTAAGAGTACTTTCTTACGTCCCTTCGGATCATCTGCGTTTCCAGATTTAACCTGTGTCCTTTTGTCCTGCTTTCTGTCAGTCTAAAGAATCTATCCTAGTCCACCTTATCTATTCCCCTCAGTATCTTGTAAGTTGTGATCATAACCCCCTCTGTTCCTTCTAGGATTGTGAGATTTAGTTCCGTTAGCCTATGTTCGTAGTTTAACCCTTTTAGCTCTAACTCTATTCTTATTGCAAACCTTTGTACTTTTCAATTTTAACTGTATGCTTCACAAGCTGCGGATACCATGCTGGTGATGCGTATTACAGTATTGGTCCAACAAACGCTGTTATTGATTGCTTTGAAGGGGGTTCTGATTCATGTTTCTAAACGGTGTTCTTGAGACCAGAAGGAGGTGATATGTCAGAGAACTTCGGTACAAGTTTTACTTATATCTCATTACAAACTATTAGATCACAGGGATATAATAAATCCTGCTAAGCAAATATAAAACGTATTTTTGAGATCTATTGGCCTCCAGTAACCAAAATATGTAACCAATTTAAATCATCCCACTAATCCATGACTAGCTGCGAGAGAACCCTGGCTCCTTGACACGAGCACTCAAACCTCTTACTACAAGCATTAGTATTCAAACTATGCTTTCATCCGCTCTGCTTGCCTGTGCTGGTGTTACAGCCGCGACTACTAAGTAGGCAATTGTGCTTGATAACCTCTCCCCTCAGGCGCGCTCCACTTACAAATGATTCAAGAACAGGGCTCTCTACACCAGAGAGGATCGAGGCCTTGAATAGAGTCAACACGACGCTTAGTTAAGACAGGACAGAAATGTTTGGGATAGTTTCCTTTCATCTAATGCCGCTGTTCACCTGGCAGTAAATAGGTACCTGATAGTTAGGTGAGGTTGTGAGGTTACATCCTAGGCAGGGTCAGTATTTCTACCATTGAACAACCTCGATACAAGCCTAATATATATATGTGCAGTCTTCTTGTCCCCAACAACGGGAGTTACATAGTTTGTGATTTTATATATTAGCTCATGGATTCTAGGTAATTATAATATTAGCTTATAATTTTAGAGATTACCTCGAGACTTAGAATATTAGCTTGTGAGTCTATATATTAGTTTGAGATTTTAGATAATATTATTGTGGAGCTTGATCTGCCTCTCTGATGCCCTTGTTATCCTGAAGCGTTACTATGGGTTAGTGAGACCCTACTTTATTTATTTTACTTTATTTATTTATTTATATAAAAGCAGATACCGTC